AAGGAGGTAGGGTGTTTGGATGAAACTCTAACATAAAGTTAAGAATTCTTGGATATCTCGTATCTTAATTCAAGGGTAGAGCAAGGAAATAAAGGGCGGCCACACAAGAAGATGACAGCTCTTCTTGGCCTGACCATGGATACAAGATAGGAAGAAATAAACTAGCCCATTATAACTAAGATTTGGGTAAGAACTTACACTACCTCCTTGATCTTTAAGATCCTGTACTGAAAATTGACATTAGAAAATTAAAAAATATTCCAAGCTGGAAACAACCTCTGAACATGAGGGCGAAACAAAAGGAAAATCTGCCTCCCGGAAAACATCCTCAAGCCAGGCCCATCTGAATGTGAGTTTACAATACATAATGACAACACACGAGGAAGCAATTCATCATGAGTGAGAATCATCAGACATAGTAAACAATTGAATTTGATCCTTAGGAACTTCAGCTAGAAGTTCAGATAGAAACCACGAAAGAAAACATTTTAAAATAATTGGAGACATAAAATGTGGAATTAAAACAAAAAGGGAACAAATGTCATAAAAAAAGCAAGTTTTCTCCGACATTTTATTATGAGAATTTTCAAACATAGAGAAAAGTTGAAAGGATTTTACAATGAACATGTAAATATCTAAACTGCTGTAAACATTTTGTTACATTTGCTTTAAAACATGTCTCGTTTACCTATCCGTCAATTTATCTTATTTCTGAATGCTTTCAGTCGAGTTGCTGGTTGTCAGTACTGAATACCTAAACAATCCAGCATACATATTATTAACCATAGTTGTTAACTATATTGCAAAAAAAAGCATTAATCATATCCTTTCTTGTAAATAGCATAACTATATTGTAAGTGGAAATAGTTACAATTTCTTTTTGAAGTAAAATGTACATTCAATGGAATTAGTAAGTTTTAAATGCATCATTTGACATATTTTGACAAATGCATACATCTGTGTAACTCAAACTCCTACCAAGATATAGAATATTTCCTTTATTTCATAGCTCTCCCAGTCAATCATATCTCACCTTGAAGCTCAGTCCTGGAGGCAATCACTCTTCTGTTTTTACCCCATAGATAAATTTTACTTATTCTAAAATATCATATATATGGAATCATATGGTATGTATTCTTTTTTTTTTTTTAATTTTTTTCCCAACATTTATTTATTTTTGGGACAGAGAGAGACAGAGCATGAACGGGGGAGGGGCAGAGAGAGAGGGAGACACAGAATCGGAAACAGGCTCCAGTCTCTGAGCCATCAGCCCAGAGCCCGACGCGGGGCTCGAACTCACGGACCGCGAGATCGTGACCTGGCTGAAGTCGGACGCTTAACCGACTGCGCCACCCAGGCGCCCCTGGTATGTATTCTTTAATGTGGATTGCTTTTATAATATTTTTGAGGCTCATTTATATTGTGTATATCATCATTCCATTGTATAAATACACCAAAATTTATTTATCTACTTTCCTATTGATGGGCATTGAGTTGTTTCCAGATTAGCTATTATGAGTAAAGCTAACATGAACATTCTTGTACAAGTCTTTTCGTGGATATAAATGTTCATTTCTTTGGGGTAAAAATGTAGGAGTAGAAGTGTTGGGTCATAGGACAAATGTCCTTTTAGTTTTATAAGAAACTTCCAGACCCTTCTGAAAGCACATTTCCCTAGAGTATGTGGAGATATGATAATCTGAATAAAATGTTTAAAATATATCCAGTAGAAGTTCTAGAGAGATTGGAAAGAATTGGAAGAAGCAGGTTTTAATGTGTGATTTTTTGGTAAATTTCTGAACAATACAGATTTCCATATTCAGGAACCATAATGAATCTCAAGATAAAAACACTAAATCCACACATGGTCAAATCTAGTAAAAACGTATAGCCTCAAAGATAAAGAGAAATATTTTAAAAGCAAAAGAAAGAAACTGATGGATGACTTAAAGGTAGTAATAAAAGAAACCTGTAGATAGTGGAATATTGTTACAAGCATTAAGATAAAGTAACCGTCACAGTTAGAATTTTGCACGAGCTAAACTTTCATTAAAAGAGGAGTATGGAGGGGCGCCTGGCTGGCTTGGTTGGTAGAGCAAGTGACTCTTGATCTCAGGGTTATAAGTTCAAGCCCCATGTTGGGTATAGAGACTACTTAAAAATAAAAATCTTAAAAAAGATGAGAATGAAATCAAGACAGCGAAGATGTTTTCAGTCTAAGAAACATGAGGAAGAGGGAAAAGAATAAGAGAGAGATGGGGAGACTCATGCTAAGGCATTACTAGAGAACATAATTTGAAGAAGGAAACTGGAATCAGAAGAAAGGAATAAGGAGAAGATAACTTGACAATTGAGGAAAGATAGTATAATACTTTATAGTATAATATCATAAATATCCGAATGGTTTATAGTGTGGACTCCTAACTCAAAACCACAGACTGGGTTTGAATCCTGTTTCTGTCACTTGGTAGCTATGTCATACAACTCAGTTTATTTCTCTGATGATCAGTTTCCTCACTTTAATGAAGACTCAGTGAATCAATAGTTTGGTGTTTAGAACAGTGTCCAGTACGTAGTTAATATATAAGTGTTAATTGGTAAGGAGAGAGAGAAGTGAAAATAATACAGTGATCAGGCTTGATCTATTGGTCATAGGTGGCACTCTAAATCAGCAGCGAAAAAACAGACCATCGATGAATGATGCTGAGGCATTTTTAAGGGAAAAAAATGAAACCACATCACACATCATAGGCAAAAACCAATTTTAGGTACATTAGGATCTAAATGTGAAAAGCAAAACTTTAAACTTTAAGAAAAAAATAGAATAATTTTATGGACTTGACGTTGGAAGGTCTTTTTTAAACAAGACACACACACACACACACAAAGATAAAGACAGTGATAAGATTTACCATATATAAACAAAAAATTCTGTCCATCAATACTGAAAAAAAAAAGCCCCCCAACACTGACAGAAGGTCTTTACAAAATACACAACCTCATGGATAATTGTCCAGAAAATATAAAGGATTCTTTCAAATCAGTAAGCAAGCAAAAATCAGATAGCTCCATCAAAAAGTTGGCTAAAGTTTCCACACAGGTTAGTCATGCACCAGGAAATGCAATTGACTAACAAATGGGTGAAAAGTTGCTCAAACTCGGTTTTTAAAGAAATGAAAATTAAAGTGACCATGAAATACAATTTCATCATTTTGAAAATAAACGTAAAGTTCCAGAATACAAAGGACTGGCAAGTAAGTGAAGCAGTGGGGAGTCCTACATGCCCCTAGTGCATATTTGGCAGTATCTGAGACTTACACATGCAACCAGAGAACTCACACAAGCCCAACCAGTCATGAAAAATAAAGTCCTTTCCACACTGTTTGGAAGAGTGAAATCCCGGAAACAATGGAAATATCCATCAGTAGAAGAGAAGTAGGCTGGTCGTTCCCATGGCTTGCAGTAACAGAAATATCTAAATATTCATCAACAGGTGAATTATTTACTTGTACTCATACAATATCTGGAGTTCCTTGCATCAGATATAAAAGAAGAAAGTTGGCTTGGAGGCAGTAACAGGTGGAGAATGCCAATACACTGAAAACAGGATGTAGGTGAAAACGGCTGTGGCTCACTCTGGAGAGGTGGTTCGTACATGAGTGTAAGGGTCAAGGAGTATTGAGCTGTTATCAATAAAGCTTGCATTATCTCACACTGAATCTATCCAATTCAGAGTGAACCCTTGCCTCTGTCCCCCCGCCCCCCCAAAAAAGAAAATGAATGAGACAGAAGTACCTGAATCATCATGGATTGATGTGCAAACCAAATGTTGAACAACAACAAAAAAAGCTAAGTGCAAATGTCTATTTATAGCATTACCAGTTATACCGAGTTACTAACCTATGAAACTGCCTGATTATTTTATAAATGTGTATGTAGCTAAAATATAAGGATATGTATAATAAAGGTAAATATTAAGTTCAGGATAGTGATCGGCTTAGGGAAAGGTGGAGGAGGGTAGCAAGTGGGATCAGGGAGATGTACTCAGGAGGGTTCAGCTATACTTGCGAGTGGTACATTCATGGGTGGTTGTTACTTAGATTTCCTTTACTATTCAAAAATCCCAAATATTTCATCATAAAGCATCAAAAATCCCTTTCTCCTAAGTAGTTGCACAATAGTTTGGTCATTGCCGTAAACAGAGCTGTAGTGAGGAAGGAGGAAACCGGTGTTTAAAGCTCAGAAGGCGGCAGAAGTGAGAGGAAAGTGCAGCTGCCCTGCACGATGGGTGAGACTGGCCACTTAGAACATTCTAGAACAGCATCCAAAGTACCAGAAGCCTGACAATGCCTGCTGTCAGTGGAATTCAGCATCAGTAAGTCAGTGTGGCTGAGGCATGTGTCACGGGTTAAAGCCATTTATATAGACACAAGGTCGTGGGGTGCTCAAGAAAGATTCTGGACTATCTGCTCCAACTCTGGCTCTGTCTCTTACACTTTCACATTGAATAACCATAATCTAATTATTTGATCTCTCTGTGCCTCTATTTCCTCATGGGTGCAATGGGGCTACACAGACAACACTTAGTGTTCACTTCTGTTGTTGTTAGGATGGTGATAATCATTGACTCTCACCTCAATCCATCTGCTTCCAAAGGCACCCGAGATCCTATGGCCTTTGCCTTATTAGTATCATTCCCTTCCACTCCGTGTTAAGTCCTCAGTCTCAATTCATGTGCCTTGCTCCAAAACCAGGCTATCAGCCTCATTTCACATTGGAACGCTGTCAGAGGATGATTTCTGGTGACTACACAATCAGGGCGAGTCTTCAGCCTACCGTAGCTGGCCTCCCCTCCCTGTTCCTGCTTATATATATATATATATTTTTTTTTTTAAATGTTTACTTATTTTTGAGAGAGAGGGAGAGAGTGGGGAGGAGGGGCAGAGAGAGGGAGACAGAGGATCTGAAGCAGGCTGTGCGCTGTCAGAGAGAGCCTGATGTGGGACTCGAACTCACAAACCACGAGATCATGACCTGAGCTGAAGATGGTGCTTAACCAACTGAGCCACCCTGGTTGCCCCTGTTTTTGAGTGCTGTCCAGAATAAAACGTATTCATCCGACGACTCCATAATCTGTGTCCACATATCCTGTGCTTGGTGCACCACACAAAATCTGACACAGGGAAAGATAGTAGAAAATGAAAGAAAAGTCTCTGTGTTGTGTTCATACGCTGCTTCACTAGATTGACCTCTCTCTCTCTTTTGTTTGGTACTTCTTCTTTCTAGGTTAGTGCACCTTTCTTGTCTCCATAGTAGGGGTTGACACTAGGAATTGATATCCCTTGTTTCCCTGCTCATCATTTTGATTCAGTAGGTAGAATGTGTATCAGCCATTAATGGCACTTTTTTCATCTCCTTCCATCGACAGTGTACAACCCTTCCTTGATTCTGAGGTAAGCTCATTGCTTGTCCTCAGTTTTTGGTGGTATTGTGGATTCGTGCCTCCTGTTAGTATGCTTTCTTGTATATGAAAAAGAAGTTGTATAAAGTCTTAAAAAAACTGAGTTCATTAGGCTGGATTCTAATCTGGGATTTCCATATTATGGCAGAAGTGATGCTGTGTAGTTCTATACCCAGCCCTTTAAGGTCTAAAAATTTCTGCTGCTTATTTATTTATTTATTTATTTATTTTAGAGAGAGAGAGAGAGAGGGAGAGAGAGAACATGAGCAGGGGAGAGGGGCGGGGGGGGGGAGAGAGAGAGAGAGAGAGAGAGAGAGAGAGAGAGAGAGAGAATCCCAAGCAGGGATCAATCCCATGACCCTGGGATCATGACTTGAACCAAAACCAGGAATCAGATGCTCAACGGACTGAGTCACCAAGGTGCCCCTAAAAATTCCTGCTTCTATTCTTCAGGGACCCAGCTGCCATGCTGTGAGGAAGCTCAGGCTATCTTTCTGGAGAGAGAGGCATCCTGAAGAAGCTATGGAGGGAGACAGAAGGAGGGCACAGAAGAAACACAGGTCACCCACAGAATCAAGTTCAGTCCTCATTTATTGTTTTAAGCCATTAAGTTTTGGGTGGAGATGTGTTACACAGCTTTTGATAACTGAAACACTCAGATAGTTTGTGTTCTTCATTGTGATCTCTTCATTGCATTACGATCTCTTCATTTGAGAGACTATGAGATGATAAGAAACTATGTGTATAATTTTATGAGGACAGGCTTTCACTCCTACACCTAATGCTATTTTTATTCTACTTGTATATCTATCAGATTTTAACTCTATTCTGCCTCTAACAGGCTTATTCCCATACCTGAGCTTATTTTTAAACATATAAATCCCCAATTTTCAGTCTGCAATGATTTTGTTTTATGCCTACTTGGATTAGTGTGATCTTTTGGGGAAGATTTCTACTCAGAACAATTATATTGCTTATGATTTCTAGCCATGCAATGTTTTTAGAGGTATATTCAGAGGAGTGTGTTCACGGCATTTATTGGGGATAAAATTGTTAAGATCTAATGATGATCTCTTTAAAATATTTATTTGGTGAAACCTGAGGGTTTGGGGGACCAATATAATGGCAGAATAATTGCTAAGTCACTGTGAAGGCATTGCTCTATTTAACGTGTGCAATTTTGCACAAGCCAGGCGGAACTAATCAAAATACTGAAGGTAGGTTCTTGCTGTCAGCACTCTCCCAACATTTACCTAGCTGTTTACAAGGCCAGAAATATGACTTTATATATTGTGAGTGAATTGGATTTCTTAATAATAAACTGTGATCGAAATTAAGCAATAATTCCTTCTAAAGAGAACTGTTAGTGATGTTTTCAGCTATCAAGTTCTTATTGCATCTGCCTCCAGTCCATCAGGGGTATGTTTTAAAATATTTTTTTAGCATTTTATTTTTGAGAGAGAGAGAGAGCAGGGGAGGGGCAGAGAGAGAGGGAGACACAGAAGCTGAAGCAGGCTCCAGGCTGTGAGCTGTCAGCACAGAGCCCCACGCAGGGTTCAAACTCCCGACCCAGGAGATCCTGACCTAAACTGAAGTCGGACGCTTCACCGACTGAGCCACCCAGGCGCCCCCATCAGGGGCATTTTCACCCATTTTTGACACTTACCTGTTTGTCACAACAGAGTCCCTATGTGCATGTGTCAGAGCCTCTATGTGAGGTGTGGTCTGGTTTCCTGTGACACCCCTTCTCAGTGTCTGCTTTGTCTGACCAGGAGTATCCCCCATATGGGTGCCTGGAGCTGGGGAGAGGTAACCCCACTGCTCTTTGTTGCCTGTCACCCTCTGCGGAGCTTTCTCCCAGATACTCAGTGCTTGCCCTGACCTCCTAAAGGCTTCCACTCAGATTCTCCCTCTCAGTCTGCTCTGTTCTAGAGTATTGTTGGCCCTTCCACTCAGATTCAGTTGTCCTTTTTGATTCTCCTTCAGAACTTTGTTCCGTGATGATGGACAGTACTCTGAGCTCATAACCTCATGCGAGATAACGTGTTAACCCAAATGAGTATCCCTGAGGATGGATTTTTTTAGGCCGCTGGAAAATATTTTTAGGCAAAAGTCTACCTTCATTCTCTTAAGCTAAAACCAAATCATTTGTGGTTTCATGAAGTAGAACTACCTTCACGTACAGAGGGACTTATCTGGAGCGCCGAGAATTTCATTAGTTCTAAGACTCCGGAACATAGCGGTGATCCCAGAGGGGAGAGAAGAAGCTGAGCAACGGTGAGAAAATCTGTCAAAATCACCTTGTTTTTTCTTCTATATCAGGCAAAGAATCGCCTTCAGAACCAGGGATGTAGGTTCAGGTGTGTAACTGCAGAGTAGATTTGCAGTGGTCAGGCCCACATAAGAGCAGAGCCAAGTGGAAGGAAGACCGGGGAGACAGAAGAGGCACAGGAGGCCTGGCTCCTGGTGTGGGGGTCACATTGGGTTGTGGTTCAATGGCTACACAGTTCTATTCATGGTAGAGGCAGGGATCCTGTTGTATTAATAATGATTGCCCCACCTCCTCAAGAAAATGAGTTAGTTATTTACACGTGCTTTGTTCAAAAAGGTAACAACATGTAATACTTTTTAAAAAGGTTGACCCCCCCAAAATTTGCTGATAAAAGAGGTAGAACTTGAATTATTTGGGAAAGTTACTTATTTAGAACAGGTCAGTCCTAAAAATGCAAGACGTTGTGCACACCTGCACACGCACAGCATACGCACACCGACCTGTATTCAAACAAAGAAAGGTAACTGCCGGATCTTGAGTCTTCCCTTTGGTCAGATCCATTTTTCTTTCTATTCATTGATCTTTCACTTCCAATTCACAAAGTTTCTAGTGATTCTGTTGACCTTCTCTCTGTCACCAGTTTGTCCCTTTGCCTTGCCCTTCCCATCCTAGTGCCATGTGCAGGCCACCTGGCTGGGTCCTTGGCCACTGTCTGCCCAGATGTGTCGGTGGAAGGCATTATGATTCCATGTCATGCTTGCTTGACTCAATAGGGTAAGATGCACTTAGCTCCCGTGGATGCCATCCAGCTGGCCTGGGGGAGGCAGGGTGGGAGGGGCTGCCTTGGAGGAAGAAGCACTGGAGAAAGACAGCAAGAGCCAGAGCTAAAGAAACCAGGCTAAGGCTTTAAGTAGCTTAAATGAACATGGATATTTTTATTTCCTGGCTTTATTTTCCCTCTTCAGAAATAATAAATCTTCAGCATCACTGATGCTACTACCTAAGTTAAGGAGGTCGGAGGGAAGGTAAGAAATCTCATATTCACACTACTACATTTTTCTCTTCAACCACTGGTATAGGTATGTGCATTTAACAATGAACCACTGGGGAAATTGCTATGGTAATCTTAAACAAGAGAGTCATTATACAGAAATTATTGTGTATTTTTCTACAAACGACCATCTTGGTTTGAAACAGGCTGATTAGCTGAACTTAGTGATATATTTGTTCTTTGTATTATATCTCTCAGACCGTTAGGGAAGGAAAATGACATATTTTAATAGATCCTGAGTGTTTTGAATATAGTGCCATCACATCCCATGGCGGGGGTGGGAGAAGGGGCTACACCTGCTGGGCTGGGAGCCCTCCACTCGTAGATATATTTATCAGTCCTCTCTGAGCACCTCCAGCTCAAGCTCAGTTCAAACCTACCAATTTCTTAGCCCCATGAAAAGGCCATTTTGTCTAAAACCTTGGAGTCTATAGATTTTGAAATTGAAAGAAAAGTCATGCCAGAGACTGCATTTTACTTAAACACTTTCTTAGACCCCAAGTTTCAAAACCAACTAAAGCTGGAAAAAGACTATGCTGTCTAGGACCTTTAACAGATATATTATTTTGCTTCCAAATAAAGAACAAATTGAATTTGAGTTTCTTAAGCCAATAGGTATTATTTCTTTTTAAAAACATTTAAAAAGTATTTATTTATTTTTGTGAGAGAGAGAGAGAGAGCGAGTGGAGGAGGGGCAGAGAGAGAGGGAGACACAGAATCGGAAGCAGGCTCCAGGCTCTGAGCTGTCAGCACAGAGCCCAACATGGGGCTCAAGCTCACAAACTGTGAGATCATGACCTGAGCTGAAGTCAGATACTTAACCGACTGAGCCACCCAGGCGCACCAGGTATTATTTCTTATATTAGAACATTATAGCTATTAACATTATCATCCATGAAAGAAAATGTGAGATTACTTTCCAGTATGTGCCCAGAAGTCTTTCCTCATCTCTGCCCCATGGCTGTTGGTGAGAGATGTGAGATTTCTATATGCATATATTCCTGGTTGGAACAGTTGTATTTATGACAGTATCCCCATAGCTCTTAGCGGAATGACTTTGCTTCAAGGGGGGAATAAAACTATGTTGACTCATCCGTTGCATGAGGTTGATGATGTTGTATGTTAAGTCTTTGCTTTGAAATTATCTGTGAGGACCTCAATTAACAGAGACCTTTTTAAAAGAATCTTGGTAGTAGAAAAGTGGTACTCGTTCGATATCCGGGTTGGTTTCAATCCTGTTCACTCACGTTTGTCTTCAACAACGGCCTTTTGTTAAATTTTGTTTGTCTTATCTTAGTTTATTTGAAATTGTATTTCCCATTCAACAGTTCTCGTAGACTATATTTTGTTTTCTGTTTGCATTATTTTCTTCTACTTAATGGCTCTTGATCTTTATCCTAACCTTAACTTTTGTTGTATATAAACATTTTTAATTGACCTAATAATTGGAAATATGAGCATCGTTCCTCAGGTTTTATTGGAAAGCTATGAAAATTGTGACTCCAGATTGTACCTATGTATATTTAATAAGGAAATGAAAAATACCACTTGGGAGTTGACTTGAATATTTTATCTGCTAACATATGCCATCTTGTGTGGCATCAATGAATATCTGATGTGATTTTTGCAGATATGAAAGGAACCATTTAGATATTTACCAACTGAAGTAACATTTTTTTGTTCTCAGTATTTTTATTTTATTTTATTATTATTTTTTAAAATTTAGTACAACACTGATTTCAGGAGTAGGTTCCTTAGTGCCCCTTACCCACTTAGCCCATCCCCCCTCCCACAACCCCTCTAGTAACCCTCAGTTTGTTCTCCATATTTATGAGTCTCTTCTGTTTTGTCCCTCTCCCTGTTTTTATATTATTTTTGTTTTCCTTCCCTTACGTTCATCTGTTTTGTCTCTTAAAGTCCTCGTATGAGTGAAGTCATACGATTTTTATCTGTCTCTGACTGACTAATTTCACTTAGCAAAATACCCTCCAGTTCCATCCACGTAGTTGCAAATGGCAAGATTTCATTCTTTTTGATTGCCAAGTAGTACTCCATTGTGTATATATACCACATCTTCTTTATCCATTCATCCATTGATGGACATTTGGGCTCTTCCCATACTTCGGCCATTGTTGATAGTGCTGCTATAAACATGGGGGTGCATGTGCCCCTTCAAAACAGCACACCTGTATCCCTTGGATAAATACTCAGTAGTGCAATTGCTGGGTCACAGGGTAGTTCTATTTTTAGTTTTTTGAGGGACCTCCATACTGTTTTCCAGAGGGGCTGCACCAGTTTGCATTCCTACCAGCAATGCAAAAGAGACCCTCTTTCTCTGCATCCTCACCAACAT